TTGGGCTTTCTTAGGGATTCTGTTTTTCTCTATTCTATTGTACGTAATTCATATGACATTTAGACGAATACCACTTTATTTGTATATGTCCTTGTTATTCAAATATTAGAAAACAATAATTAATAAGAAAAACTGTTTAAAACCATCAGTTTATAAATATTTTCAATTGTTAACAACTGTAATAAAACAAGAACTTATCAATATTTCACTTTATGTTAAACATGCTTTGCTCTATGGAAACGTTCAAATACCACTTACACTGAACGATAATTATGTTCATCTCCACCTTGTACCATTTTGTAAACTACTTGACTACAAACACTTTTTACTAGATTTTTTGTTAATCACGTTGACATGTTATATGGATTATACAGGCGTGTAGATAATTTAATTTGTACAAATCTAAATATAATGTCTATCTCTCTGTCTGTCTATATTTCCTTCCTAGGCAAAATATTTTTACAGTTACACTATTTTCGTTCGGATTTTTTATATATTTATTCCCAAAATACAACAAAATAAAATTTTGCCATAAACGGTATTATAAACTTGTATGGAACATAGCAATTTACTTTTGATCAACTATGATAAATAATTCCCATGTACACTTAGAAAAAATATATATTTGCTCAGGTGTGAAGACCGCTTAATATTTAAACTGCACTCGAGTTCTCGCCTGTGATCCGAAGGATTTTGATGCCATATGAAGAAGTAGCTTGGTCATGGAAACAATTGGTTGCATACTCACCATTCATTGGCTGAGATGCATTTCAAATAGTACGCCCTTTCTCCAACAAATGTAAGAGCGTTTGTAAAGCATATCACTTTATTATTATCGAATGTAATTTTCTAACAAGAAACTATTTCAGTCAACTATAAACATTACAATATATAAACAACGTTTTGAAAGACTTAGTTGGAATCAGTATTATCCGTATTTAATTCTATTTATCACCATTAAAAGTAAGTTATAAATCAATTTAGGCGTCTGTTTATATATGATATAATTCAATATCTATTTTAATATTCGAAAGACAATATAGTCTATTTTGATTGTTATTTTAAGATGTAAATCATTCATTTTAGGTTCTGAAGCTAATTATTTGAAATATTATCTTTTCATTTTCGAAATGAAAAGAAAAGATCTGCATTGAATATATAATATATTATAATCGCACATATCTAAGTCGTCAGAACCATCGAAAAATGTCGAGATAACGAAATGTCGAGATAATTTATATGGCATAATAATGGTAAAGATCAAACAGAAACCGATATTTGATTCAACCAGTCATTTACAAACCTTATATCTACGGCAGATAAACCGAGTGCGATGTATTTAGGTCATGTTTTCTAAAGGCTATCATCTGATTGATTTACAAGGTATTTATTGTGCAACAATCTTTATTTCGATCTTTACAATCAACGGATATTTAGCAGAGGAAAAAGGCAGTCAGTTCAACGATAAATAAACACACAAAGTAAAAATAACTCGGTAAAACATCATTTAAACAATTGCATTTTGTGTTTTTTCTTTTACTTATTATTCAATTTATACCGGTTAGTATTTCATGTATGGCCAGGTAAGGTAAAAATTGTGAAATGATTACCATATCATTAATGTGAGTATTCCGTTTCATCTACTTTTAATTTATGAAAAAATAATGAGGAAAATTCACTTAAAAGTTTACAAGCATATAAACTTAACATACATTAATACCACTTCAGTTATCAACACACATGCCACCTTTTTATGATGCATATCAAGTCACAAAAATTTGTAAGCCGAGATAACAAAGGATTGTATCATGCAAATTGCTTTTGTGACTAAAATTAAACTTTGAGATACTGTAGAAATCGAATCATTAAAGTCGAAATTAACAAATATAATCTGTAAAGATAAAGAAGGAAAAACACGAGAGTATCAAAATAAGATCGATTTTACAAAAAAAAGTCATGAAAAGCGATGTTTAGATAACAATTGTATTTCGCAACAAAATTGTTACCCACATGCATTGACTGAGAAATATACTTTAACTAGCATGGAATAATTATTTGAAAAAAAACCCAAAGATGTATATGACGAATTTGCAAAATATCAGATCGATAATTAAGCTTTGTGTTTGTGAGAAGCCTTGGAAGCTGCCGTAACAAATTTATTTAGAATCACGTTATACCAACAACATTTATAAATTTGCATTATAAATGAAAATACATATATTTACTTTTTTCTTATGATAAAATAATTGATTTTATGTAAAGTGTTTCATAGTTTTATTGCATTTATGAATAAATGTACATGTTGTAAATAAAATGTAAGGTAATAAAGAAGGTAATGATATAGCGGTCATAGTGAATTTTCCGGTATAATTTGATGATTTCGTTTTCAGACGAATCTGTTTATATATGTTTTTCAATTTAAAACTAAAACAGTGTAGAAAAATTTATTTTGTGTTTCATTCAAAAATGTCAAGTTAGGATGAAAATCTAAGTCCTGCTTGTAATATATGTATAGTAAAAAAAATTTGCGAGGCAAGAAAAGTAATTGAATATTACCCTATACTGTATACGTATCAGGTTGCCAGCCAATCATAACATTATCTGTTATAGTATGTATGCATCCAAAGTAACGAAACTATTGCGCATGTAAGACAGCAAACAATTTATTACGTGTAGTACATTAGAGTTATTCAAATTTGTTGATTTAAAGCTTTATAATGTTTATGTAAAATACTTTTATTGCAGACATTTATTGAAATGTAGGAAATTCTTTCTAAATATGTCTAATTTGAATAAGAGAATGCACAAACTATGTTTGGAAATCATCATGTCCAAAATGGACAATTCATTTGGGACTTTTCTTGAAAAAAAAAAAAAAAAAGATGCCAGTTCTTTTTTAAATGGCACTTTGTATATACGACAACTATTCCTTATTCCACGTAGGCTGCAACATGTCTCGTATGTAATAAGTAAAGGGGATATAATAAAGAATACCTGAAAAAGTACATGTGAAGCGAGGTGTTTAGGCCGACATATTGTCAGTACGCGATACCAAAAAAGTCACGTGATTCCTTTCAATTTCCCTTTATTGGTTAGATACAGACCGGTCACGAAGTCAGTAAAAATACGGACAGACGGACGTACAGACTGACGGACGGAAAACCATGTGCATAACATTATACGCGGCGTATAAAAAGGCAAATATAGTCAGGAAGACAGTTATTGACACAATCATTTTGTAAATAAGGTACTAGTAACACGGAAGGCAGCTCACATATTTGGTGCTTGAGTTTCGAACTGGCCCAGGTCCATTTTCATAGTAGAGAAAGTTTTGAAAATTCTATATTTCGAGTTTTAGTACCTAGTATTTAGTATTGATACTATCGGTGTGGATCCCATATATGCTGAGAGAGAATCTGTCTGGTGCGTTTGTATGTATCCAGGAGTTAGCTGTTAAATCATCTTTATAAAGGGTTAAAAGACGAATTGAAAAATGTGAAAAAGAGGTTTATACAATTCTATAACTTTTATTGAAACAAAAAAGAAAATGAATATATAAACAAAAAGATATAATATATAAAGACATACAAATATTTAATGAAATATAATATACTGTCACCATATGACGTAAATGTGCTATTAGAGTTTATGACCTGAAAAACACCCCACTTTTCAATCTGTTCCTTCATTTCTTCATGTTTTACGAATTTAAAGTTTGAAAAGGCAGGTTATCGCATTAATTGTCTGAACGTTCACGTAACTTTTCATTGTTTGTAAGCATAATAAGGTTTTTTTTTGGTAAAAATTAGATATTTACTTAAGTTGTAGATGTATTATTATCACAATACTATTTTCATTCAAATTAAGATAAAGTCACACTAAAAGACAATGATTTTAATAATATAAACAAATACATGTTCATCATTTAGTTACAATTGCGGATATAAAAATAACTCTTGTCTACAGAAGAAAAATGTGTGCATAGTAATAGTTTACAAAAGTTAAGACAAGAACCCAAACATTAATATTATATGGTAGTTCCTCAAAAATGTTAATTTCTCGGAACTATTGTAATATCAATATTGTGAATTTATGCAATAGTGTTGATGTCTGAATCCAATCAAATAAATTAAAACTGATGAGAAGTGATTTCATACATACTAATAATTAAGATTAAACCTCTCCTGCACATAGCAAAATTAGTTATTGTAGCGTTATCAACAACTGCTTTTTAAAAGTAAAAGGTACTATTGATGAAGATTAATTGATGTCTGGCTTAACATAATACTATTAGAAAATGTTAACATCAATCTATTTATAAGGTCAAATCTTTTAAAGATATCGTATGCTCAAATTTTATATTTGAAAAAACTGATAATTACTGGAATATTTGATAAAATAGAGAAGATATGTTAGTGTTTAAACTCTACACACTACAGATAATCACAGAATGGTTTCAAAGTGACATCGAAAAAAACAACAACAACACAATAACACCACACTTGCAGTTGTTATAAGAATAGACCAAATAAATTTGATAAGTAATAGAGAATGCATCTTCCCGAACACATTTTATACATTCTTCAATTTAAATTAGACTTATTCAGGAAGAAATGACTAAATTGCAATAAATTTCTGCACAATAATGAGCATAGTATTTTTTAATAGCAAAACATAAAACACATAATCAGAATGTTACTTTTTGAGCCAGATATTGTTTTCATTCAAGGATATATCAATGATGGAAATACCTATTTATTTAAAAAAAAATTGAAAATACAAAGTGATCGATTATGAGTAAAAGCAATAAGAACATAACTCATTTGATGTATTTATAATTTGAAAAGGTAAAATTTATACTTACATTTTGTAATAAAGATAAGCAACATTTGACAAAAAAAAACAAAAAACAAAAAAAAAAAAAAAACCGCAATTGTTGTTATTAATATGTAAACCATTCATAATGTTATATTGCATAACACAGTGACAATGATTTTTTTTAAGGAAATGCTATTATAGTAAGGTTAATTCGAGTTGTGGTAATCAGACCAAAGAATTGACCTCTTTAGCAATACAAGATTTCCTAATTTATCATGTTTTGAAAAGAAAACAAAACATATCAGAAAAATATCAGGTTATCATGTCATACATAACGATTTTTGAAAAAAAAAAAGTTCTTTACATTAATTCATCACATTTATGTTACAATAAAAATGATTTAAATAAAGGAGTTTATATGTACCTACTCAAGTTTATAATTGTGCTTTACACTTTTTAAGTTAAATTTTTCATTTTCATACACTTTTCGTTCCTTTTACTTCTTCGTCCTTATGACCAATTTCATAAATACATATAATAATAAAGTAATCATTACTTCGTGAAATCCCATACGAGCATTATCATTTGATAAAATGTGTTAGTTTTTGACATTAAATGTTGACATCACATTTTCACGAAACTCCGAAGATTACACTTTCATTTAAAAAGAAATAAAGAAAGAAACAAAAAGAATGAAACATATGTATGTCGTTTGTAAAGAGGCTGTAAAATAAACTTAAACCACTTTGGTTGTTTAATTATCTTTTTTTTGAGCCACCTCAATAGCATTGCGTGAATGCATTTTTGCCACAAGAAGAAGGGATTTCAGGACAATCAATAATGGAATTGACTCTCTCCAAGTAAAGTGATCCATTTCTTCAAAAGTGACAACGGGATATATCTTTGGGGCTGGAATTTCTAGTTGCTTAGATACATTTTGAACAGCCTGTTGGATTTTCCTGCATCGGAAAATTGACTCTACACTATACTTGACATGTGGTGATAGCTTGTCAGTTTTCGTAAGAACGGCAATCACAGGGATATCTAAAATAAAGTAAATACAGGTTCAATTATTTGTATTCTTTGCATTTATAAAGTGTAAGAAATAATCTATTACATGTTTTGCTGTTGAGTTTGAAAAATAACAGTTGAGTTTAAATTTAAATTGTCTCAACTTCACAGTCATAGAATCAAAATAGTCATATTATCAAAATACAATTCACTTAAATCGAATTTATTACTTGGCCACCGCAGATGAACACTGTACACTATAAGCTTTAAATTTGTATGATTTAGATAATCCAGAATAGGTATTTTGCAACAATAATCATGGGACATTACTTCCACACATGACACTTATAAAACTACATTTTTGTTACTTGTCAAATTTGCTGCGTTTAATATTCCAAATGGATCGTCGAATTTAGTAAGTAAATTAAAGTCGTAAGCACATTTTGGGTTATTCTTTTCTATAATTTTTAAGATTTAATGAAAGTTTTAATCTAAGTTTATTTCCATCCAGAATTTCTTTAGAAACTAACTATGCTTTGTGATAATCTATATTGACACTTTCCAGAGAAGTTAGAATGAAAAATATTCTAAAAATGTTTAAAGCAAGCAGTCATGTAAGTTGTTATGACAAAAGAGAAATAATTAAACCGATTTTACGATTTTTTAAGTGTTTTGGCACAAGTGTGACATGTTTGATCTTACGGTCACGCAGATATGCTCCCAAACCGTAATGTATCTTATTTAAATAATATTTTATAAGGATGATATTCTTAATGGCATATTCAACAAAAAGAGCAAATTGATTGGTGAAAATTTGTTGTTAACAACTATGATATGATTCTCTTAAATAGTTTTTGGGTTGTGGTAGGGGTGGTCGGGAGCGGTTTTATTTGCAATTTAATATCGTATTGTGTTCTTTAAGTGTATTGATCGCAAAACATGTAAATGCACGCTAGAGAAAAAAGGAAAACCAGAGGCTATTCCTATCAAATTACAAACTTGAAAATATATACCGAATTTCTCAATTTAAATTTTTATTTGATTTGTATATATACTCATTGAATGCATGGTTTCCATGATCCTTTTAACGCCATATACAAAGGCTGCGGGAAGTTCGTATGCCATTGTACTGTCGATGACAATCAGAACACAATGAATCCTATCCGAAAATTTAGGTGATGATTCGTAATCCTTTTCTTCAGAAGATATACTTTTCTCTGGATTAAACTGCAATTCGTGACAGAAAAAAAACAAAACGTTTTTATTGTTGTTTTTTTTCATTTTGTTTAAATATTCTCAGATGTTTTATGCACCAAACAGATTTATATGAAGCAATTCATTATGAAATTATTTTAATATATCTAGTCAAATGTTTTGGAATAGACCTATAATGTTTTTTTTTTTCACAGTAAAATTAAAATAGTATCGAGTTTGTACTGGTAATGCAAAAACTCATTACACATTAAAAAAATAAAATAAAAACGTACCATATATCCATGTTTGATATGTCCTTGTAGAATCAGTTTGATATTTTCTACATATGGATGGACATCCTTTTTCACTGGGAGTCCAGAAATGTCACTCAGAACAATTTGTTCCAATTGGCCAGGAAAATCAAAATTTCTGTACTGAAAAACAAGCAATTGAAATTGTCTGTTATGTTACTTAGTTTTGTAGATTAATAATTGTAGATTATCAAGATCATTATACCCTCTTGAGCAATATCCGTTAGGGGTACATTATCCAAATAGTCAATTATGTTGAATCTATTCATCATTCGCGGGACCTGCTTGGTACTTACAACAATTTGCAACGTTAAGCCGTTACACACTGTATTTCAAAAGTATATTTAAAACACTCTATCTAATGGGTCGTTCAAATGTTACACATAACGATCTGCGTAATCAAGTTATATCTTTGACCATCGTATATGCTTCAGAAATATAGCTTAAACAAGGAATAACCTGAATTAAAAATCATCAAACTGCAAAACTACATCGCTGATTGAACAATTAAATCTGGAACAACTAAATGATTACACCAAACATTACTTTGAGCATTCAAATTCTTGAATCGACCTTTGTATTTGTTTCAATAATATTTTTATTTATTCTGACGTTGGCAATAGTATTCTTAAATAAGAACTAAGGAATTACCTCCCTTTATTTGGTTTTCTGAAATTCTGAAACCACTACAAATGCCAAAAATCACATTATAAATGGCATATATAAAATAGAGAGAAGTAAAATATCCCCAAAAGAACGAACAAAAACGCCAAAAATGAAACTGTTGCAGGCTCGTCTGATTGAGCCCGTTTATGGACGGCTTTGGAAAAGGCAAAATACAGTCAACGCCCCCAGCACCGGCTTAAGCAGAACTAAACATTTATTCATGGTTATGGTGAAAAATTGAATTTCAAAACATCCGCAGATGTGTTCATACGGCGAAAAGCATGGAACCTTTAATGTGATACGTAAGTGCCATGCTATTCCATAACAAGAGGGCCATGATGGCCCTGAAGTCGCTCACATGTATATAGGACCCGGGAGCGGGGCCAGTTTAAACCCCAGGGCTTTTATTTGAACTAACTTGGTAGACACCCATTAGAAGATATTTCATGCTTAACATCCAAGGTCTAGCTGGTCAAGTGTTTTTCTTTACACATAAAGTAAAAAACAATGACACACCTGGGGCAGGGCCAGTTTTGACCTTAGGGCTATTATTTGAACAATCTTTGTAGACACTTACTAGAAAATGTTTCATGCTTAATATCTAAACTCTAGCTATTCGGGTTTTTTTCAAAGAAGACTTCTAATTTTTTGCTATACACATATACGGAAAATCAATGTCAGCCGGGGAGGGACCAATTTTGACCCCAGGGCTTTTATTTGAACAAACTTTGTAGACACTCACTAGAAGATGCTTCGTGCTTTATATCTAAACTCTAGCTATTTGAGTTTTTTTCAAAGAAGATTTTTTAAAGTTTTTGTATAACACATATAAGGAAAAGGAATGACCCCCGGGGCGGGGCCAATTTTAACCCCAGGGCTTTTATTTGAACAAACTTGGTAGACAATCACTAGAAGATGTTTCATGCTAAGTATCTAAACTCTAGCTATTTGTTTTTTTTCAAAGAAGATTTTTTAAGTTTTTTCTATACACATATAAGGGAAAATCAATGACCCCCCGGGGCGGGCCAATTTTGACCCAGGGCTCTTATTTGAACAAATTTGGAAGACATCCATTAGAAACATGTTTCATGCTAAATATCTTAGCTCTAGCACTTTGGGTTCTTTAAAAGAAGATTTTTTTAAGTTTTTACTATATGCATATAGGGAAAATCAATGACCCCCTAGGGCGGGCCAATTTTGACCCCAGGGCTTTTATTTGAACAAACTTGGTAGACACCCATTAGAAGATGTTTCATGGTAAATATCTCTTAGCTCTAGCTCTTTGGGTTCTTTAAAAGAAATTTTTTTAAGTTTTTACTATATGCCTATAGGTAAAATCAAAGACCCCCCTGGGGCGGGGCCAATTTTGACCCCAGGGCTTTTATTTGAACAAACTTGGTAGACATCCATTAGAACATGTTTTCATGCCAAATATCTAAGCTCTAGCTCTTTGGGTTTTTTTAAAAAAGAATTTTTTTTTAAGTTTTTACTATATGCATATAGGGAAAATCAATGACCCCCTGGGGCGGGGCCAATTTTGACCCCAGGGCTTTTATTTGAACAAACTTGGGTAGACATCCATTAGAACATGTTTCATGTCAAATATCTAAGCTTTTAGCTCTTTGGTTTTTTAGTAGAAGATTTTTTAAGTTTTTACTATATGCATATAGGGAAAATAAATGACCCCCCAGGGCGGGGCCAATTTTGACCCTAGGGCTTTTCTTTGAACAAACTTGGTAGACACTTACTAGAAGATGTTTCATGCCAAATATCTAAGCTCTAGCTCTTTGGGTTTTTTAGAAGAAGATGTTTAAAGTTTTTTCTTTTGGTTGCCATGGCAACCAGAGTTTTGCATGGAATTAAATTCTTTGAACAATTTTTAAAGGTGACCACCAAAGGAACATTCCTGTGAAGTTTGGATGAAATTGGCTTAGTGGTTTATGAGGAGATGTCATTTAAAGCAAAAGTTTACGGACGGACGGACGGACGGACGGACGGACGCCGGACGAAAAGCGATCACAAAAGCTCACTCTGTCACTTTGTGACAGGTGAGCTAAAAAGCGGCGTATGGGCCGTAAGTAAAAGAATATGTGTGCCTTAAACGAGTCGCGTTCATTGAATGCCGCCTTTTCTTGTTAATCTTTTTTACCATATTTAAGCCCACCGCATTTCTGTCTCAATGATATCGTAATAAGCCCTAAAGAAGTAAAATATTTCTTCTTTCGTTCAAGTTGATAAATCAGTAGGTACTGATTTTGTTTCCAGAATGTCATATACTTCACTAAGGTGACCTATCTCTCACATACCATATCAATGCTAAATTATTTGCGTAAGTAAAATATTATATACATAAACGAAGCTATTTATTAAGACGCATTCCCAATGAGACTTTTATCCCCTTTTTTTCTTTCTTATCTCTGTTCTCCTTTTTTCCACTATAACGTTTTCTTCTTTCATAAAATAATTTTCTATTTTAGATATCTACGTCAAAAACTGTAAATATACTCCATAAAACTTCACACGCACACGCGCAGGCGCACACAAACACGCACGGACACACACACACACACATGTATAATTCTTTTTCCTTGCCATGTGCATTCCAATTATTTATTTATTTAGGACTAACCATCTAGTTCGCCAAAGGTGAAGAATTCCCATAGACTCGTCTTTAGTTCTCATCCGTTTGTATTATGTAAAAAATATGATTGTTGCTAATTTGTATGTACATTATATATGCTTTTGGGAATAATAATGTTTAAACCAATCCAGAATTTCCCGGAAATAAACCGTAGATTCAATCATATTTATTTGAAGTATTCATATTACAGATACAATATTAATGCATATTGTATTAAGCACATTAATATTGAAGCGAAATATTGCACAAACATTTCCGTCAATGTCTTGAACTGATAATTGATTGTTAGGAAAAATAAAAGAAATATACACAAGCAATGAAGGCTTAAAACAGTGTTTTTATCATTTACTCAATTTAGGAATTCGCTTGATGAAATTTAATGTTTGGCAAAACAAATTAATCTATGTTTATATCTATATAAATATTTATTTAGTCTACATTTAATGTTCTTACACATAGTCATCTGTGTCTGCCGCAGCTCATTATTGGGTGATTATCTATTATCTGTTATTCATAGATTTGAAAGTAAGTGCATATTTCGTCCCAAATTCTTTTAAATTCTTTTACATTTAAAGCATTAGGTTTTAAATGGACAAATTGAATTAATAAATATAACAATCGTAGATACATGCAAAACTTCCCTTAGAATTTTGTTATAAAACCCCAAACCAACCAGGTTTTTTTCTGCAGGTCTTCTTTTACCATACCTGTATTCAATGTGCATTAAGGGGGCTTTTTGACCCTGATGTTCATGACAGCTCCGTTTTCCAGACGCATTGATGATAACGTCTTCGAGGGAACAAATATGGTAAACAACATCAACAAGGAAAGACGGCGTTCAATGAACGCAACCCCCACACGACCCATTAACAAGGAACAGTGGTCCGGAGCCCAGGAGGACCCCAAACAAAACCAGGACAGGGCACAAGGCAAAGCACGGAGAGGATAATCACCAAATAACACATGAAATTAAATAATTGCAACCGATAAGGAAATCAAATGCAATTGATTGATTAATAGTCCCACAAAGTAACAGGACACATGGGAAGGGGACTTGAAGTACGGGGAACTGGAGGGAAAAATTAAAAAAACTAAGGGTCAAAAGGAAAAATACTTACCGTAAACGAGAAAACAACAAGGGACATAAACAAAAATGTCACAAAAACAGTATGAAACAAGTAAGACATACATCTGAGGAACACACAGAGGCACCGCCTTGAAACGGTCAACGCAAACTACCAAATCTGTATCTGATAACAATCGAGTTCAAAAGATGATAAATTCAGCATGAAGGTTTTCAGGTTTTATATGAAGTTCATGAGACTTTTTGACAAAATCATTATTTAAAACAAAACTTTCGTCGCATTCTATAACCTGTGCCGCTGCAGGGTAACCATGTTTTTAACCGGACTAAAACAGTTCTGAACGACATTGCATTAAATAATACAATGTATTTTAATTTCAAATAAGTGTATTTTTGAAATTTAAAAAATATAATTTAACGAAGACAACATGAAAATTTAGGGACGTCTAATGAAAATCTGGGTAATTCTGGATCGTCTGTCGTAAACTTACATGGGTGGTAACATTTGTGCCCATCGAAGCAGCATTGCAAATACTAGTTTTCTCGCCAACACTTATAGAAGCGAAAGAGTTAATCAGTGATGACTTTCCATGCCCATAAAGGCCAACTGTAAGCACTCTAAACTTATCCAAACCGGTCTCTTTTGTTGGTTTTATATCATCTATATCTTTCTGAAGTTTCTCTGCTGTCTGAAAGAATATAATTTATTATTCCGGTTAATGATACGGAACAAAATAGCCTGAATGAATGCGAAAGATTAATGTTCGTTTTAAGTTCAATGTCTCGATTACAATATTTTGTTGTTATACAACATTAATTTTCTACGTCATGTAAAAAAACATATAAAAAAAAAGAGCAGGAAAAAACTATTCTAGAAATCAACAATAGAAATGTATTTCTCACTTCCTTTTTCCATTTGAAATTCTCATCAGGTACTCTCCAAGGATTCCATGTCAAGCCTGTAAAATTGACTTTAATTCTAATATACCGTAAGAGTCTTATAATAATAAAATCATACTTTCTTCTGTTTTGGTATCAAAGAAGGAAAAATTAGCTGTACAAGGCATGAATTTTAATTCATTAAAATTTTGATTCAATTCGGAAATAAGACAAAATTGGTCTCTGCTTATTATATGCCATTCGATGAAATTATTTAGTTTTGACATGCTTACGATTAGAATGAAAAACAATGATACCATCACGATTTATTAAGCTTATTGTTTTTAATTGTTAATTAAAAGATTTCATCGAAAACCGTCAAACTTTATCTGTGACAAAATGCCTACATATGCATTAACAGTGCATATTTAGGATAAAAATGTAGCAACAGCGTTCGGTCGAGATTGTTTGATAAATCCTTTTTGAAAGTCTTATAAGTCAACTTTCATTAAATAATAAAAGGAAATAGCAATTGTGTATTCCACATGTACACAAATTTGTAACGCGAGAAAGAAAACATTATACCAACTATAAAACAATTCCTTATTGTGACAAAACGATAGCATGTCAAAATTGAAGAAGCTCTTTTAGCTTTACAAAATCGGTTAATATCTGATCTCGTTTACAAAAGTCGTCTACTATCGTTTTATTTAAAAGACAGTTTTACAAAAGTTACCTCTCAATATGAATAGTTACAAAAGGATTGCAATAATTACAGGCATTAATTCATTGTAAATCATTTCATTTCAAAATTGAGTGACCCTCTGTTAAATAAATACTGATATTATAATCACATAAATCTAATATAACAAGAGAAAATAATTTGATTAACTTACTGCGTTTACAAACACATTGACGCTATATATTGCCAAAAGAAATACATGTGCGTCAAATTTCATGTTTTTGAAGTACAAGAAAAAAAACAAAAAAACACACACACACAAAAAACAACAAAAAACAACTGTTACCTAAACAGTAAATCAAATTAAGTAATAAATAAAAGGAATACATTTATCGATATCATCCATTGGAATAAAAATGTTCAAATATTCTTCGTTTAAGTGGGGCAAAAATTTAAAAAAGAAGTCCCTTTCAAATGATTCAGTATGTAGGCTCTCAAGAATATACATATAGAACACAAAATGGCCCTTATAAAAATGATACAAATGATGCAAAGCTAACAAACAGTTTAACTTGCACATCATTCTTAATTGCCAGAGAGTGTTGAATCTTTTCTTAAAACTGGATCGTATTTGCATTGAGAGTGTGGCTTCAAAACGTTAAAGATTAGTTAATTGATTATGTTGATAATGAAATACTTCAGCATAAACTTAAGCTTTATCATTTTTCTGAAAATACCGTAACGTTCTTTAAGTCATATCTTTCTTACAGAATATTAATCTTCTACCTCAGACAACGTAAATAATTACCGGTGAACCACTACGTTAAATATTACAACCTTTATTGTTTCTAATGTACACGTACAATAATGACAAAGCTTTCATTGATGATTATATAAAAAAAATCTATACGCAGAATATTTTACTCTTATTGAGTCCAATGAATATATGTAAGAAGTAAAGTAAAACTTCAGCATCATTTAAGTGATATTGAGAAAAAGATCAATATTTATTTATGACCTAAAATCCAGAAAAATCAAAATGTATGGTGATAAGAACAAGAACAAATATTAAAATAATGAGAAAATTGTACCTTATGCTAAATGAAATAGTTCTCAAAACTCATCGGTTAAAATGTTTTATTGAAAAAAGAAATCGTGTTTTGTGCACTTTGAAAATAAATGAATAAATGAAATAAATGTATAACAATGCATATACAGTAGTTCAGTATTAACTTGATGCATATACAGTAATACAGACTTATAATTCCCCGAAAATAAATAGTAACCTTTCAAATATAAAAAGTCATCAAATTCATCTGAACATTTCAAAGAGTGGTTTCTAGTAATTAAGGAAGAACATGAAGATTTTATACATATTTATACGGACGGTTCAAAAGAAGGTTGCAAAGTAGGTGCGGCTGCGTTTGAAGATAATTTTACATTTAGTATGAGGTTACCAGATAATGCATCAATTTTTACTGCTGAAGCAAAAGCTATAGATTTAGTATTGTCATATATAGTACAGCATACCCATGATAAATTTATGATATTTTCTGAATCGCTTTCTGTTTTAATATCCATTAAAAATAAAAAATCTGACAATATCATGATAAGGAAACTTCTTTTACGATTTAATGATATACATAAAACAAAATCTGTTAAATAATATTGGATTCCAAGTCATGTAGGTATACGAGGAAATGAAAAAGTAGATGCTGTAGATAAACAATCAAACAAATTTTCAACAAACTGACTTATTGTTACCTGCTTGTGATTTTAGACCGGCTTTAAATAAACTTATATCATCTGAATGGAAAGCAAATTGGGACAATGCCGTTTTTAATAAACTTCACGATATAAAGTTTATAAACCCATCTCTTTATGTGTCACCATCTCTATCTCTGTCAAACCGCCATGATCAAACAGTTCTTCTTCGATGCCGAATTGGACACACTATAATTACCCACTCTTATCTCCTCACGAATGAAAATGCCCCTTTCTATGTAGCTTGTAATAAAAATTTTACTGTCAAACATTTTCTTCTTGAATGTCATGATTTTTTACAGGCCCGTAATAGATAACATTGTGTCAATTCACTCAAAGAACTTTTTAATACAATTCCATCAAAAAACATCATCGATTATTTGAAAGAGATAAACTTGTATTCTAGGATTTAAATGGCTCATGTTTATTGTCAATTACAAAGTTTAAAGTCATTTTAAGCCTATTATAGCATTCGGCACGATATGGCCAGTTATGTCTTGACGTACCGTAAAAATCAAAAAAAAAAAAAAAAAAATAACTGACAACTGCCCTTTCATCTACAAATCTTGAAGTCACAGGTCAAAGGTGAACTTCAGTGTAATGACATTTTAGCTTTGATAACAACTATCGTACTGGAATCAACAATGCATGTGCAGACAGCTTAAGCAGATATCCATTTGAAAAAGAAAAGACATCATCTGGTATCATAGAAAAGATTAACAACGTCGACGTTAAGGTCATTAATACCACCAAACATTTAGAATATTCCTTGTGAAAGTTTAAACATCCTTGAAGCCACTGAAGTCTCAAGGCCTACAATTGCAAAAGTAGAATTAAGAGAATTACGAAAACGTCAAAAAGAAGATATCCTCATAAATAGATGGAGACATGCCTATTGAAAAAGAATTCTAAAAGCATTATCCAAAGAAAACATAATCGTTAAAAGGTATTTCAAGAAATTTGAAATAAAGTGTCCTTTACAAAAAATACTTGATGGAGAATACAGGAAGAAAACAGCTTGTTAAACCAAAAAAGTACAAGAAATATTTAAAGGACTTAATACAGATGTTGGCAATCCTGATCGAGATAAAACTCTCAGATTATTTCGAGAAAGATTTTATTGGCCATACATGTTAACTGATACAGAATAATATATTAACAAATGCGAGAGATGCACCAAAAGTGAATGTTACAACAGCTTATCATCTTGCATGGATTCTTTTTATACCTTGACCAATCAACATAAGGAATATCAAACATCTTAGTTATAACGGATCACTTCACCAAGTATGGCTAAGCCATTCGAACTGCCAATCAGATTTCAAAACAACAACTTTATTCAACAAATTCATTATTCATTACGGTATTCAGACCAGATAACACTTAGACCAAGTAGGAAATTTTGAGTAAGATATAATTCATGAACTTAGACTTCTGCTCATCACAAAAAAAGTTGTACCATCATATACCATCCTATGGGAAATTCCACACCTGAGCGATTTAATAAATCAGTGCACAACATTCTAAATGCACTTCAGACGCAAGACTGGAAGAAATATGTACCATCATTAGTATATGCATAAAATAGCACTCAACATGAGTCAACAAACTTTGCACCATTCGAGCTCTTGTTTGGTAGAAAACCTAAAATTTCTATAGACTCTATGTTCGAACATATGACAGAAGAGGAAGAAACAACAAAAATTGTAAACGAAAACATAGCAAATTTGAAGACAGGAATGGCATCAACGAGAGAAATAGTAAAAGAGTTCAATGACAAAGCTAGAGCTAAACATAGAAAACAAAAACAATATGAATTTAAAGCTAAAGCAACAAATATTAAATCTGCCAATACAGTACTGGATTAAATTTTAGGATTTGAAGGGAAACATAAAATAGCTGACAATTTTGAAGAAGAAGGATATGAAGTCATTGACAAACCAATACCAGATATTCCTGTATTTAAATTAAGATCATTGAAATCCAAAGGGGAAATGACTCTGCACAGAAATCATCTAAATCCTGTTTATTATGTGATTATGCTGACAGAGAAGAATAAATACAGGAGGGAGGCAAAAATAAAAATATTAAGGGAAATACAAAGGAGAGAAAAGATAAAGCCAATGCTGGAAGTGACTTAGAGAATGGAGGTGAGGAAGAAGAATTTGTAAAACATAATGAAAATGGCGACGTCAATTTTCCTACTGTGAAGCATGGAGAAAGTACAAACAGTGATAAAAGAAAGAACGTTGCTTAGTGTATTTTGAGTATCAAAAAGGAAGGGAGGAAACTTTTAGATATATGATAGTTAAACATGGTACATGATTAGCTATAACATAAATAACTATCTCATACAAATAAATAAATATTTAAGTATTGATTGTTACTTTTATCTTCAATATTTCAGATATTGAATGCTAATGACAATAATGTTATAATGTACATGTAATTATACATTTGTAAAATAGGAAGGTAATTGTAATTGTTAACGCAACAATTAATGTGTAATACACTGACAGATTTTGGAGATAAAATATTTTTGTATGTTAATTTTTGTTAACCTTAAGAATGATCAGACAAATATCATTTATGACAAATAACGGGTCATCATTTTTAGGCCAAAAAATAATGTAACAGGGTCATTTGTTTGAGATTTGGTGTAAAGGACATAATTCTTGCATTAGTGTTGAATTTCATAATGTTCCTAAGAAGACAAATCCGACGGGCTTGTCTGATACTTTTTAAGGGAGATTACTGTATTGTTTTTAACTGATTTAACCTCATGTTCATAATGGTTGGATGTATGTTCAGTTTTTTAAGAAATGAAATGACTGGTTCATAGATCGTTGATTTTTAGATATTTATGCCATGTGATTTCTTTGAGACTTTGTTATTGTAATGAAGAGATGTTGAAAATGTTTTGTGGCCAAGTTCTTTATTTCTAGTTGGTATGTATTAATCTTGACTGCTGCTTAATGCATTATTGTAAATATGGGGAGTTGCATTATTGTGATTCTTTTAATATATTTTTGGCCAGTCCATTGATTGTGAGATTTGTAAATAAGTATCAGTTTCATATATCTATTAACTCATCTTTCTTCTTTTATCAAGTATTAATATTTAACCTTGCAGTTAACAGTCACTGGTGTGATAGAGAGAAGTAGGTGTAATATATAAGATTAATGTACTCCACTCATTGAAAAAGTGTTTAACTTGAATGTGTGATTCCATAATTATGCATTATATGTATAAGGACTGTAGCTAAATTTAAAGGACTGATTGGCCTCTTGACATGTTGATGATAATATTTTTCATGTAAACATAAGATATGATAATAATAAATATAATTCATTGTCCCAACTTTATTTTACTTTGTATTTACCTATTGTTATATACTTGAAGTAACACCCCAACGTCAAGATGGATATATAAACATGATTGAACTGTATTAAGCTGTTTGTTGAAATTGATTTCACAACCCCAGAACCTACTTGACCCTCAGGGTCTCGGGTAATTGTAAATTAAATTACGCCGAAACCACCCCTATTACATATATATTGACCATTTTGGACTATTGTTGAATAATACGGGGTAAAGGAAACACAAACAAAATAAATAATGTTTGTAAATTGCAAAACGAATTGCTAAAAATCATTATAAGAATTACAAACGTCTCCGTCAATGGAGTTATTAAGAGCTCTTAACTGGTTTAAACAATATTTTATTTCAGTCAAATATATATAACCAATATATTACAATAAATTGCAAAAAGGATTAGAAAGCTAGAAGATTGAGGGAGAGAGAGGGAGAGACAGAGACAGAGGCAGAGGAGGAGATACAGAGAGAGAGAATTTGCTGACGGTATTGGATTGCGTGGGTCTCTTTATGAGAATCTCTTTGTCTGTTGTATATAATAATGAACATAGTCAAAGACAAATTTGTTGATTTATGGGTTGTTACTATCACCATATAAGACATGAGAAAGGGGTTGCATTTTCAAGTGAATTGATATTGTCAATTAGCTGTGTTTTTTGTGTCTCAAATAGTAAACATCTGAAAAAATAGTGAAATGTAGTGTTTCGATTTCACCACATGTGTAAAGGAGAATATTTATGACGGTTTTTTAGAATAGGTGCTCGTTTAATGAACTGCAGTGATTTCTAAGGCGTGTGTGGTGGATTTGTAATTTTCTGTCTCCATAGTAAAAATGAACTGGAACCTTCCTTATATCCTTGTTGAGTTTGGATTTAAAATTGATAAGAGTTGGTGCATTTCGCTCTTTAAGAGATAAAAGGTTCCAAACAGTAACTGTTTGAGGAACAAATGAAGAAGAAAATAGGCGAGTATTATATTTAAAGTTTCTTAGGTTTTCTGCAGTTCTAAGGTTGTAGGCTGTGGTACTTCCGACATGGTTTGAAACTAATGTTGTAAGAAAAGAGGGTGATAGCATATTTGACATTTTATAGAAAAGAGTTAATCTGTGCTTCTTTCGTCGTTCCTTAAGAGGTTGGAAGCAAGTTTTATGCATACAGATTTTGGATAGACACAAGTTTTGTACAACAGAAATTTATTGTTGTTTTTAAATTAAGCAGAAGATACAAGCCGAAAACTGTTCACAAAAGTAAATATTGAATCTCATGAAACTCTAAGCAACCAGTTTCATGGTGCGGGACAGTTAAGTGTTAGTATCAAATATCAATCTTTCATTTAGCATTAGCATAACGCTGAACCAGTGATATTGTTATAGGGATGAAATATTTTGCATTGACTTTGTTTTTCCACTCTTATGACAAATAATTAGTATTTTATAATCTTTGATAGTTTTTTTACAGGTTCAATATCGATTACTCAAACAGTATTTAACACTTGTTTGCCATTTCCAATGAAGGATATATAGAGGATATTTTTTGTAGGATGATAATTAATTAATAACATCTAGTGAGCTTTGAAACAGTATTTTAACAAATGTCGTAGCCACAAGTTAAGCATATAGTTATTAAAATTCACGAGATGAAATAAAATAACATCTTACACAAGAAACAAACAAATTTTCTTTTTATTTAATGCTTAGATGCTGTTTTAAATGAAATTTCTTTCCTCAATATTAATTTGAATAAAAAAGTCTGTTTCCTTCTGTTAGCCTCAATTTCAGACGAAATTATCATAAATAGACCGAATTTTAAAGTTTAAAAGACAACGTTAAATTGTTATGATATTGTTAATTCTAAATAAAAATATGAATGATCTACTCTTAACAGTCCTGATTTTTTTCAGAAATACGCGATGAGAAACAAAAGTGAGACACAAAAACAAAACCGTTAAATTAATTTTTTTTTGATATGTTTCACTGTGAAATAATTAAGTATCATTTTCACGGATAAATCAGTAAGCAACTCAAAAGCATAAAAAAATATTTTTGTGGTAAGGTGTCTTTTAATAATTATTGACCTTGTTTAGTTAATTGTTATTCAAGATATTATAAATTGCATTGAATGAAAACAATAGAAATAATTTTATTTTACCAATTCCAAGATAAAGACCTAAATCCATTTTCACACAAACAAAATTTGATTATTTCTGTTACATATACGAATGTTCAAAACGAATATATCCATAGGTAAAGTTATACAGCAAAGTTATTGACGGATATTGATTTAACGTCTACATCAGGTTAACACAAGACTTCAATTCAATAATTGATTTGAGTAAATTTTTAACCTTCTGTAAAACCTTATATTTTCTTTATTAAATCCGTATCGTGTACAATGGTTTATCACGTCATTACATTGATTTCTGTTGATAAAGTGCATGCCTAATAAACCTAGCCTTATCAGTCACCCCAAGCTTTATCAGACACCTCATCAATACACATTTTGACCTTGACAGAACTACTTTTTTGGGTCATGTTCGGTCTACTGTTTACATTGGATACTACAAATACTAGGAATTAACTCATTAAACGATTGGAGGAGTTCCTCTAGACGCTTGCAAAATGCATGATCACAAAATAGACAAATATCGATTTTTATTCTCGGATTATTACATTTTTCATGCATTTACATACAAAAATCGGTTTGAAACTATAAATTAGACATTTTAAGGTTTATTCCGTCGTGTAAAAAGGCACTATTGTAGCATTTTATCATTCAAGTGCTTTGCCCGGTGTATACCGGAATTTATTTAGTGTGGTGCTCCTATCCTTTATTTAGTCTCACTTCAAATATTACATATTTTGATACGATGAAATTAAAACATATTAAAAACACAAAAAGAATTTACTGTTTTATTTTTATTTTGTTGTATTGCTTAACACCTTTTAACAAATTTAAAAAAATTACATATTTTGTTGTCCTTTTATAAAAATAAATAAAATAATAATATTAAGAAGAGAATTTATCAGTTGTCTTCTGCTATTCTTATAAAATCCAAACTCTGTGTAGTTCAGTCATTCAAAAATGTCTGATTATTTGTGTCAGACCACATTTGACTTAATTTGGAATCAACTAAAAACACAACATGTTGAAGAAATTTTGATGAAGATGAATTCCTGAACAAATACAGACTAGAAATAACTGATTTTGATGATGAAGTGGAACACCAACACCCCCTAGCCTTGTTGTAACCAGCCTTTCTGAGAGTGCCCCTTTGTTGTCTATCTCTGTTGCTGCAAACGAACTTGAATTGCCAACTTCAATTGAACAACCTCCTGAAACAAGATCAAATTTTTGAATTTATCTTCAGGTGATGTTAATAAATTCAAATCCATTGAAGAGCAAGATCACAAAATACCATGGGAAAAACTTTTACTGACATAAATGAACAAACGAACGAACGAAGAACGAACAAATGAATGAATGAATGAATTAATGTCTGCATTTCACAAGAAGAAAATATAAAAAATATGATTTTATTTCATCAAGTGAGCTCTAAACACAATAGTTTCACGAATGGCGTAGCCATGAGTGAAAAACAGGTTTTTAAGTTCACGAGATGAAATAGAATAACATCTTACGAAACAAACAAACTAATTTTCTTTTATTTTACTTAAATACAAGTGAGAATGAAATTTTCTCAATTTTAATTTGAACATCAAAGTCTGTTTTCCCGACAGGCAGCCTCAATTTCAGACGTCTTTCTCATAAACACATGAAGTCTTGAGCTAGAAAATAAGTTCAAAAATTAACGCAAAATTGTGATGATATCATTTACTTTAAACAAATAATATGAATGATCCCCTCTAAACAGCCCTGATTATGTCAGAATTACGAGCAAAAAAGTAAAAGTGATGTACCACATGTGAAAAATCTTTAAAAGTAGTCTCTTCTTTGAAAAGTGTGAAATTATATGTTGATATTTTTACTGTGAAATTTAATAAAACATATAATATAATTAAATAAAATATAATATAATTTTCACGGTAAATCAGTTATACACTCAAAAGCATGAAATAAATCATTTTTATGGTAAAGAGCCTTTAAGTAATGTTTGACCTTGCTCGGTCAATTGTGAATAAATCTATGTCAAGATTAAATGAAAACAATAGTAAATTAATTTTTATTTTATCAATTCCAAGATAAAGACCTAAATCCATTTTAACATAAACAAAGATCGACTTTTTTTAGATAAACGAATGTTTAAATGAACAAATACATAGGTAGTTAGGTAAACAGCAAGTTTATTGCCTGATAACGATTAAATGTCTCCACCAGGTAAAAGTAGACTTCAATACAATAATTGATTTGAAGCGTGGAAAATAGTTATATTCGTTCAAATCAACCACATGCTGTGAGCATTTATATCAATTTCTTATCGTGTACATTGATATCACGTTTTTAGAAGGACATTGAAGATGAATTACTAAAAATATTGTGTACAATGAGATCTCGTTTGTTAGGAGAACATTCATTTAAGATTATTAAAGATGTTGTTAGTATAACTTCAGGTAAGTTTTATATACATTTTTTGGTTAAATTCTATTATCATTTATATCGAAAGAACAAAAATTCAATTGAAATTATACTAATACTTGATGATTTCGACATAACACAAATAACTTGAAATGAAAAATTGACATAAATTCATGCTCAGTTTTTTCTGAGACTTTTGCAAATCTATGACGAAATTAAAACAATAAACCGTTTATTGTTGTAAATCATCTTGTTTAGTAATAATGATAAATTCTTCATTTAATGAAGAAAACAAATTAAAAGAGACCTTGTATGGCACTGATAAATTCTATTAAGCATTTTTTTTCATTAAAAAGCAAATAACTATAACAAAATAAGTTATCTTGATTTTTTTAAAAAGAGAATAAAGTGTAAAAATGATGGTGATAGTATGTTTGGAAGTTGCTAAATAACGAGTAAACGCCCTTTCAATTAGGAAAATTTGAGGATAAATTATATTTGTATTGATGGACGAAGTCAGATTAATTGAATATTTCAAAGTCACTTTAAGGCAATGTTGACGATAATTACATTTGTATTGACAGACACAGTCAGATTAATTGAAAAGTTAGTTACTTTGTCGATTCGTCTAACGAAAACAAGTGGTTATATATATATACAATAATGGTAATCGTATCAGTGTTGCTGAATGTCAACTTCGTGCTATCTGTCAATGGGTTTTATAAACTGGAAAATATTTCACGTCCATTTTAATAAGATAAAAGAGATCAAAAGAAAATGTTACAAAAATGTTCAGGATTTCTTTATTAAAGAACTTCTAATTGAACTTTTTCTTTAATAGAAACTTACATTACACTTAATAAAAAGAGTGAGTTAAATTTAATAAAATTTATTTTCAATTTCATTCAATACATTTGTTAGTTTCGTGCTTAACAAAATTGAAGGAGGCTGAAACATTTACACTTGCTTTCACTCAGACACACCCAAAATAGGAACTACCAACTCGCAACCTTAAAAAATGATTTTTGCGGTTTTGACTAGACATCTTTCTAAACAAGTTGTTAAAGTGTTCATGAAGTTCTCTGACAAATTGAAATTCACATAGAAGGGTAAAACCTCGATCTTAGGGACAGAAAGGAGCTAAAAGCAGAATGGTAAACCTAATATTCTCATTAATACATTTTTTATGATCATTTCCTTTACAATATCTTGCAAAAATAAAAACATTCTCTGTGCTAGCTAAACATTTTCTTTTATCTCAAGTTCAATAAAAAAAACGTACAAGGTACAGACAGATTATGACAACCAAAGATCAAGATCTTGAACTTTAATTGTTCGCATATTTTAGGGTTTTTTAATCAAATACGCAATGCAAAATAGTTTTATCCTCCCATTTGATACAAGATGATACGGATAAAAATCAATGATGAGTAATAATGCATACATTAAAATGTTTATTTAGTATAATAATAACAAGAGCTGTCGGTAGGACAGCAACGCTCGACTATTCTTAGTGCTTGATAGTAAAAGAGCCTTGATGGTGTAAAATTTTACAAAAGGGCCAAATTTTCCTTTAAATCCATGTTATTGTTTTAGGCCTTTAAAAGCTCTATTATGCTCTCAAAGAAGAGTATAAAATTTTAACTTGTTTCAAAGCCAGATGGCAATGGTTTATGAAAATATCTGAGGTGTATGCAAACTTTAACGTAAATTCTTAGTCAGAAAAGGGGTAAATTTCTGTTAAAAGGCTTGATAATGTTATCTCCTCCTGTCTACATGTTGAAGTCATGATGATCAACAAGTGTGCAAAGTTTCAAAGCCAAATGTCAATGGACTTTGAAAATATTTGAGGTATTACAAAAACTTTAACGTAAATTCTAAGTCGAAAAAGGGGCATAATTCTGTCAAAATGCTTGATACAGTTCTCTCCTCCTGTCTAGAGGTTGGGGTCATGATGGTGAACAAGTGTGCAAAGTTTCGAAGCCATATGTCAATGGACTTTGAAAATATTTGCGGTATTACAAAAACTTTAACATAAGTGGTTACGCCGACGCCGACGCTTTTTCTAAACTGCATAATGTGACGTGACATCTATCATCCTCGAAATGAATATCACCCGGTCAATAATTTTATTTGCTATATTCTCAAAGGGAAGGTAATCTTTAAAGACTTACGAAAACGTAATGTTTTAGTTCTCTCCCTTTGCCGTTCTGCTAACACAAACGCTCTATTAGTTTTACAATATCAGTATATTGGTTCGGTGTTATTAAAAATGACACATGTCTCTAAGGGTAATTGTGCATATTAGCAACCCTTGAACTGAACACCCGAGGCGGATTTTAGTCTCGGGTGCTGATATGCTTCATATGATTACAATCAAAATATTTACATTCAAAATACAAAACCGGTGGACCTTGTAGATACCTTAATTTTTATTATGTTTTTACAATGATCATGATATGGTTTATTTGCTTGGTTTTTACGGCACAATTTAGGTCATGTGACTTTAATGATATGGCAATATTTTGATATGTCAATATTTTATTATGGTAACATTTTGATATGGTAATATTTTGAAACGGTAACATTTTTAAATGGAGAGTAATACTATCAAAACGTTTAACATACCATCAAACAAATCAGCAGTTTGTTTAATTAATAGCCATTAGTATTTTGCTTAAGTAGATCTCATTTCATTCTTAAAAGTACATTTTATAAGACTAATTACATTTATACATGAACAAATATTCAAGAAGAAGTTCCTATCTAATATAGCCAAAAAATATTCCAAAGAAAAACAAATTTACACATACTGATAAAAGCATGAAACCTTTATCATTATTCGATGCATTTTTTGTCATCCCATATTATGATAAGTACTATTGAGAGCATCGAAACATGAGACTATCACATTTCATCATATTAGGCAAAAAAAAAAATTCCCTGTCGTCAAAATATGAAACCCGAGAATAAATGTCACCAATGTACAAGCAAGGATTTTTGTATTCTATCATTATCCCTTTCCCCTTCAATCACAATAAGTAAACCCCAGTAACAATGTAACCAATCTATGACCACGCTCTTTTTATTCACAAGAGGTGCGGTAATTGGAGAGCAGGCAACAATACCTGTACTCCAGTTAACGCAATGCACATCTTTTGGTAAATAATTTAACTCTGACACATTTGCAATAGAAAGGTCTCCAAATTATGATACAAACAATAAATAAATAACACCGCATGTACTCACACCTCATACTTAAAAACAGTTTTCAAGTACATTTTCCATGCATTTATACCACCCCATATAACACTACATGTATTCACACTTATGACTTTCATTCAAAAACAAAATCATTTTCATTTTACATTAATTTTCAATATTTCACAATAAGTATACTTTATAAACTTATACAGATATCAGCATTCCTATTTAAAAAGACACGATTCTATTTTCTTCACAGATAATGTCATTTTGAAATGGATTTTTTTTCCAGAAGATTCAACAGATGTGTGGGTCTAGACTGTTCATCTTTGTAAGAATAGTATGGATGAAGTTTACAAAAACAAGGCTTTACATGGCGATTTCTAATATAGTATGTGGTTTCGTACGTCTAATTAGAAATCCAATTAATGCTATACAGAAACTAAAAACGTTTATACTACCGAGTCATGTCAGAAAGGTAACGGGAATACTTATATTCACACATATTAATACTTTCTAATGTATTTAATATATATTAATACAGATACCATTGTTTGACATAAAATTTACAATGCAATAAGTCTAAAAATAACATATTTTACTAATAATCAACGGAAACCCCGTTTTTCAAAGTCGCAAATTTAGCCAACTATTTAGTAATCAACATTATCAACTTAATTGTTGAAAATTATAATAAATCAAATTTTGTTTTTTATAATCGCTGTTATTATATTTCAATGTGATTTTATATTTGTCCCCCTTAAACGATACAAAACTGAGTTATTGCTCATGTGGATATGTCGATTCTATTTTTCTAAGAACTCGTTTTTACAGACGCGGTATTTTAAAGGCATCAGACCTGTTGCCAAATCTTACCAACATTATAAAGCTTACGTGTGACCTCACTTGCGGCTATAAACGGTCTGTAAGTCAGACCAATGTACGCGCAGCACTATCCCACTCATCTCAAGCTTCAAAAGATATAAATACATTATCTACTTCTAATGAACGTTTTTTCTAGTTAGATAAAGAAATGGATTTATTGAAACAGTCATAAGACGTGTTAGGACAATGCAACACAACAGATTTTACACCGATGTGTTTTGTTCCCCGTTTTTACGCATGACTAAATTCAAGTCTGGTTCAACGGTATAAAGTCCCGATAAACTACCATTTATACATGAAATCCTTAATTTGTATACGGAGATAAGAAAACATTGGCCTTCCATTTAAAAATTTGTAAATAAAAAAGTTTTGCAACAAAGCAAGAGTTTAAAAATGGGTCCCAAAGCATAAAGTTGATGTATGTTAATGTTTTTATGTACATTTATTGACGACTAGTTTTCTTTAACAGTAAAACATTCGTCTTAGTCGAATAATACAAATTGAATTTACCCTTACATTTGATAGGAAGATATTTTCCTTGTGTTGCGCGTGATTGTTTGTTTGTTTGTAAAGCTTGTTATAGATTATGGTCATGCATTGCAGTTGTTGACAGGAAACAGTTGTTTCAGTATATTGGTATTGTTTGATTTTATTGACCTATTAATTTTGAATACATTAAAGTGCTACTTTGATTAATTGATCAAAGTTCGTCTCTGTCAGTAAATTTACGGAAATTACAAATTTGATTAAGAAAAAAATATATTCTCAACAATGATTGTTTTGTTTGGAGAATTATGTCACATATCAGTTTGTCTAAATTACCTGAATCTGTTATTCAGCAATTGGATATACAAATATACAATACTTTATACAAACTAACGTTATCATACATTATTATACTTCTATTATTATTGATAAGCAACGACTGTATTATTGCAGGTTCTAGTATATGATACTGAGGAAGGAGAAACAACAAGATGCTTTATTGAGGCCCTCAAAAGACAACTTGGCGTCTTTGAATTGCAAGATTTTCACGCTGCTAGTGACGAAGAAAAGGATACTCTTTCTATCATTGCAGTTGTACGCCACACTTCAATACGTATGGCAGAAATCTTACGTGAAGTAAAAGAACAATTTGATAAAGGTATGCACAAAATGGAAAAACGAAATCGAGTGTTAGTGAGTAGGTAGGAAATAATTGAAAGAAAATAGGATACTTAAAGGAAAAGTAAGGTTAGTAAAAGAAAGTAATTTAGGTATGTAAATAATTAAATACATATTATGTTAAAATGCCAAGTACTTTATATAATTACAAACAAATTATTTACATTCAAAATACAGAATAATCAAGCCCATGGGGCTTATAAGACTCCTTAAATGCAAACATTTACTTGGAAAATATCATTTGTTTTTAACAATTTTAATGATTTGGTAAGATTTAAATGGAGAGTAATAATATCAAGAATGGCATCAAACAAAGCAGGAGTTTGGTAAATAAATGGTCATTAAAATTTTGTTCTAGTGATTGTTGTGCGGGACTTAGAAATAATTCTGGGCGGTTTTATTTGTCATATTTGTTTTAACATTTCTATGACATAATGATCTTTGCAGTATAATATTCTATTAATGTATAATTATTTTGTCTGAGTATTAACCTTCAGAACATCATTATATCAAGCACAAACTAACAAAGTTCTTTTTTGTTTTAATATATTTTTTCTACTCATATTTACAACAGAAATCCTACCTTTTAAAATAACATCTATATATAAGAATATGCGGTACACCAAAATTCATCGCGAAAACTGCGATGCATGCATGTATGTAGTCTATGTTTAATGAGGGCCTTCCGCCCGTTTAGGCACAAAAGTAGCTTTCGCTGTCGAGTACGGACCCCAAACATGTCACCAATCATGCCGTTAAATGCCCCTAGAGTCGATGACTTCTAATCCAGTTACCTCTCTGGCGTGGGTTCGATCCCCTGGAGATGCTTTGGTAGCGTAGCACGAAGGAAGGTAGTCTAGTACAGGTGTAACTCTCCAGGAACGATTGTTAGGAAACTACCCGCCTTTTTGACTGAAATACTATCTTATGTTAATTTTCTGATTTTTAGTAAAACAGATAATCAGATTTAGTTAACTTTAAGTTGATATTCTAGATAAGATCAATGATAACAATCATGTTGTGACGTGAATTATCATAAACGTGTCAGACGAGTAAATTACAATAAACATGTATTTTTGAAGCACAAAGTGGCAATAATTTATCTCAAGAAGTAAGATAGTGTACGGCGGTTAATGAAAACCTAAATGTACAGTAACCTAATACATTGTAATAATGGAAGAATGTAGCTCTTAAAAGGGATGTTGGTGCCAATTAAACCACCTGCCTTATAATCCATCTATCTTTTTGCACTAGCACACCATCATTGTCCTCTATACCTTCAACGTAGGGCCACTCCCCTCGACATTATTTAGGACCGGCAGCTGATCCGCAGTAAAAGTTCTAACTTTTTTGCGCTATCTGGAGTCTTCAAATCTGCTGCCGATGTCCTGTGTCGTTTCAGCGACGAGCACGCATCGAGGGGAAGTAAGAAGTCAAGAACACTGCGACACCATCGCTTTAAACTTAACCATTACATATATAATGTCCGAATGTGTGAATAGATGATTCGACATGATTCAATGTAGAATTATGGAAATACAGCTGCGTAATGTTAATTTTCTGTTTTAAGTAAAACAGATAATCAGATTTAGTTAACTTAAAGTAGATTTTATAGATAAGATCAATGATAACAATCATGTTGTGACGTGCATTATCATAAACGTGTCAGACGAGTAAATTTCAATAAACATGTCAGCGGCCTGGCTAATTGAAAATGTCCATAATAAAGCATTTCAATGATTCAGTAAAATGTTCCTTACATAATCAGGAAATATAATACTTAAAATTTGCTAAGGATCACTTTTTCTACAGTGTTACTTTTGTGTATTTGTAATGAATGTGAAAATTGATTTAAAGTAATTACAAAATTTTTGCGACGGACGCGGCCTCAGCGCGTTCAGAGCTATGTCATCTACACATGGGTCCCGTCGGCTACAATCGAGCAAGTGTCCTCAACCGAATAACAGCCCAAGAAATAGTACATTAATTTGATCCTATGAAACTCCCATACTTTGTCGGGATGTCTTAAAAACTTCCATATTTAGCCTTTTAAATTTTAAATTAAGTTATCCAAGCTAAAACATGAACGTATTTGATTTATAAAAACGCTGTAGCCCCTTAGTATTATTGCGCAATATGCAAGTAACTGCTGAAACGATTTACCGCTGTCGAGAAAGTAGGACAGCAAATTATGCTATAATTAAGGAGTAAGCTCAATAAATCCTAGAAATTATAAATAGGAAATAAATATTTCTCCATTAAACAAAGCATTTTTATTAACTGGTCAAAGGTTTTTCGGGACTCGGCAATTCTAATTTATTTTGCGCATTAATTACATAATTTTCTAGGTCACGATATGAGTGAATCTGCTATCAGCTAATGTGATTTGTGATAGAATATAATAGATTACACCATTCTAAAAATAGATTTACCAAATCACCACTACATCACCTGTGCTGACTTTCGGACAAGCGATTAGGTAGTACACATTATACATGTAATAAATCAGCGGATACTTACTTTGTTTACATATCTAAAATACTAATTATTTCTAGTAAACCGTGACTTTGGTGAATTATTTTCTGATTGTTTTTTTTAAGATTATTGTCGCGCCAATTTTGTACTTCTAGTCATTCGAGCCTTTGTTGTCTAGCTGTAAAGTTTAAGGTAGTACACATTATACATGAAATAAATCAGCGTATACCTACTTTTTTACATGCCATACTAAGAAGTTTTATACAATTATAAGAAGCAAACAAGTTGAAAATGGAATTAAGTGTGAAATTGAAAGGGACAACTAAACACTGTAGTGCTTAAGTAACTTTTAAATTAAATTTAAAACAATGTGCTCTGGTCTCTACATCTTCACCTTGTAAATAAAAAAAATCTAAAAGATACACCATTAATTTCTGATGGTTTTCACAAAAACTATTTTAATGAGACATATCCATGAGAAATAAAAATTAATATACTAATGACTTATATTGTGTTGTCTATATGCAAACTATGATATTACACGAAGCAATTCTTATTAACATTCTCGCATTTAGTATGTATTATGCTTGAAGTTTATTTGCATGGTTTTATTTTAAAAATATTTCATTGACAGTTTTTTCTTTTTACAAATAAATCGATAAGGACACTGATTTACAAGTTTGACCAGAGTTTTGAGGCATAAATTTCATTCTGTATTTAAAAATTTGGACGTGTTCAGCTTGAAAGATGAAAATCTGAATGATTTCAGATTGGAATACATAAAATGGATTGCTCTACAAATCTGGAAATTGTATGGAACAAATTGTCTCTGTTATATCTTTTGTGTTTTTTTTTTGCTGAAAAAACCTTGCATGTCCGTCGAATTCAGTGGATTCAGCACTTTGATTATGAGAGTTATGACAATGGAAGTGTTTCTTGACGTGTGCCTGTTGCGGAAAGAGTGCTGGTCGAAAATCAAAATTTTGGAGATCATATAGTGGAATAAAAAAAATCCTGCAAATCAAGGAAATGGTTGGCGTGGGGTGTTTAATACCGAGTATTGTGTCCGCGGGCATTAATTACGGTCTAGCATTGCCGCCGCCGCACTCTGCTGATGTGCCTGCGGACCCTGTGGTGAGGAATCTGGCCCATTCCTCTATGATAGCATGTCTTAGCTACTGAACTGTTTTTGGTTGGACGTGGCGTGAAGAAATGGCTTTCTGCAGCATATCCTATGCATACTCAATTGGATTTAAATCCGTGAATCTCGCTTGCAAATCCATGCGGACTATAGTTGCCTCCTCAAGATATCTGTTTGTGATGTGGGCTCTGTGTGCACGGGCGTTGTCATCCTTAAGAATGAAATCAAGGCCGACTGTGCCAGCGTATGTGCGTACATGGACGTCTAAGATTTCATTGACGTACCTTTCTGCCGTCAGTGTACCGTTTTTAATGATGTGTAGGTCCGTTTTCCACTGAGCGCTTGTTTCCGCCATGATTGAACCCCCACTAAAATGGTCTTCTCTGCAACGCATGCTTGAGCTTAGCATTCATTTGGACTTCTCCAAACCTTAGCCCGTCTGTTCGTGACTCATTAGTAAAGAGGACCGGGGTCCAATCATTAACTGTCCATGGGACATGAATCTGCGCCCATTGCAAACGCTCTTGAATATGGTGTTGTGTCAAAGGTGTGCCGATTGCTAGCCTCCGTGACCTCAACCCAGCATCATGCAACTTCTTTTCTTACAGTTTATGTGCTTACACGCACACCAGTTGCATTCTGGAGGTCGTTACGTAAGGTCGTAGCGTTCGAGAACCGTTGGCGCCTGGACTGAAGGACAATAAATCGGTCTTGGGCTTGAGTCGTTGAACGTTCCAGACCTCCGGCGTGGCCCTGCAAGTCATTATCAGTTATTTGGATTCGGTTCCACATCCTGGAAACAACGCTCTGTGATATCTCAAGGACAGGGGCAACGTGCTTTTGTGAACGGCCAGCTTCCAACATTTCAATTCTCCTTGTTTATTTCATTGTCGATATCTTTGCGGAAGTATGATTTTAATATGATGATAATAAGACTGAAATATGCAATGTCGAAGAGGTGATCCTAAACAACTTGTGAATTGCATATACTAGTAATTATTTTATGAAAAGTATTTCGAGAGATACAAATGAAAAAATACAGCATGTAATAACTCTCATTTTAGATTTAACAGTATTTTAAAGAATATTGATTAGGATAAATACATTCATGCGTAAACAAATAAGCAAAAAAAAGTTTAATCAATCTAAAATATACCGACAAAAGCGAATAAAGATTAAAAAGCCTTGAAACCTTTATTATTATTAAATGCATTTTTATCATTCCATAAAGAATAAATAAATACATGTAACACTGCAAGCATTAACACCTATTATTTCATGCACAAATTGAGTTTTATTTTGAATTTCAATATTTTACAATAAACAAATTTTTATTAAAATTTTTTTTAAGATGACAACTTATACAGATGATTCATTTTCTTCACAGAGAATGTCAAAGATCTTAAAAGAGTGTTTGTTGCTTGCATTTACGGCAATAGACGAGATGAACCGTATTTTGAAATGATTGAAGAGATATCCGAGACTGGTCAGGACAACTTTGCAACGATATTACCGATTGACTTCATCGACAAATGTCTGGTTTGGAATTTCGCTTCTTATTTACGGATTTATTGGAAAATATTTCTTAAACCGACTAACGCAGCAACTCTACGGAAACTAGAAAGGTGTATATTAATATCGAGGAAAGTCACAAAGGTAATTCACAACTTTTTAATATATCTATTGACGGCAACTTTTAGAATATGATAATTACCTTAATTCAATTTAATAAGCTTTTAATACATTGTTGTATGATAGTTTGGGAACCTTTCTGTTGAGATGCGTCAGAGTTAAATTGTTTACATATACATGCACAGTGAATTAATTGGAGGGCATGTATTAAATACCTGCACTCCATAGCATGCCCATTTATTTGCTTATTTTTTTCTGGGCGTTTCCTATTTTGACAACAGAGAAAAGAATAGCGATAGAAATATCATATACTGTAACAGATGATTTGTCATTTGTTACTTATTTCTAGGGTTTCATATTGTAACAACAGCGAACGTGTTTTTGTTTGTGTCTATGATACAAAATACAAATAACATAAAAACACTCGGCTATAAAATTTATACTCGGGGGCTATGCCCCCTCTATCAAATCAAATAGCCTAGTGTTTCGGTGCTCTTTCTATTACTTATATGTTTGTTTTTTCAAGAAACGGCTTGTCAATGTGTACGTCGACGTGAATTCGCCTCTTGTGAAAGAATTTATTGCGGAATTACGTCAAAAGATTTCAAGCTCAATTTATTTACAAGACGTGATGCCTTTAGAAGTGATCAATGAAACATCGCCTACCTTGATTTGTACAACAGGGGATGTGAAGGATTGTCAGGAGAAACTCAAAGAGAAAGGTAGTAACTTTGGATATTAACAAATAAATACATATTTATGGTTAACAATTATATGATTTTATGTTATCGTTTATTTTCATAATCATGTTTGAATGTCAACCTTAATGCCCTCGTAAGGAGGCATACAGTATTTGTCCATTCAACAGTCCGTCGGTATTTCTGTCTTTTTCGGTGTTTAACTTCCTCCTTTATGGATATATATTTGTATTATGAATTCGTGAAAAGATTTTTTAATAAATACATAATTTGTGTCCGGTAAACGATTCTGGTTTTTCTAAATGGGTCTTAATGTTTATATGTGTGCATGCGTAAGACATGCTGGTAATGTGTTGTACGCTTGAAACAGGTCTCCGGAACAAAAGGAAGAAAGACAAGAATGATATGAAATTTTCATACAAAAGCATCGATCGTGTTATCTGGTAAAAAACGTCTATAATTCCTGATTAGATTTTCAAATGACTTGAACAAATATCATTCAAGGATTATCTGAACATAACTGGCTTTTTTATATAACGTGTACGAGCGTCGATTCAGCGGTCACACTTGGACATTAAAACTCGTGATTGATCAGTCATATTCTGTTCGTATGTGCGACATTCACCGACTAATACGTTTACAAAAATATGTGGTACTTTTAAACAATTAGTGATGATTTACCCATCGCTTTAGGCCACGTTCTATAGTAAATAAAATTTCATCAAAGTTGTTTGAAGCCACAATTTTGTCTTTCAAAGATGGACCTTTAAATAACTAGGAATAAACTTTTTTGATGTTAATACGACTAACAAATTATTAAACTCAAATGCGAAATTAAGAGATTGATGGTTTTGTCTGGTCTTATCTTTGCAGATTGTATTTCAATCATAGAAATATTTGTTAAATTGCATCCTCAAAATGTAAGAAAATATTTTCTTGAGTCTCTTTTCTTATATATTACTGGGGTCATCTTCTGGACATTTGTTTCCAGTGGAACCTGGACCTAATTTTATTTATGATAAGTAAAATAATGATATATGATACAAACGCATAAAGAATGTACATTTACAGACTTGAAGGAGGTTTTCTTTTGCCACATAATTGATATTGAAAATGTATCATCGAAAATTGGTAAACATAACAGCGCTGATGACAGGGATGAAGAGGAACGAAATCCCAGTTCTGCGTCACCTGCTGGTGCCGGAAACAATACAACACAAAATGCCAAAAATATGCCTTGGAAAATGTCTGAGATACTTTATTACAATGGAAAGTTTAAATTTGATTTAGATTTTATAAAGCAATTTGAAACCTTTGTTCGCACATGTTCTGAAGAAATAAAACCTCCATCTGGATAAGTTTTGGAATATCAGGATTGTACCTACATGATATGATGTATTTTATTAGTTATTAAGATTTTTGACTGATTTTGATGTTATTAAACCGTATTTTAACCGCATTGAGTAAATATATTTCGAGTCGCGCTTACTAATAATAATTGTGATTGCGTCTGGCCAGACAAAAAAACAATTACAAAGATCAGTTGCCTTGAGCAAACTGCAACTAGTTCTAGACAATTTTGATGCAATTATTATAGTTGATATAAAATACCCAACAAGAGTGAGATATGGAAAAGAGAAGTTATAAGTTCAATTGTCATTTTCATACAGTCATCTACGCCTTAGTCGTATTTATTTAATAATAGAGTGTCATTCGATTTACTGGAAATCATAACGAGTCACCAGTGCACTAAATATATGGAACATTATTCAGTTTTGTTGTGATTCTTTATAAAGCTTCTCTAAAACTCAAATTCTGTATTTTAAACTATAACCTAAGGTTATGGAAATTGTAACTGTGTTTACTTAATATGATTTTTGCAATTGTTTTACCATGTGCATCTGTACATCATTACTTTTTTATTATAATCTCTGATCAATAAACAGAATATTTTGAAACGTTGAGTCTTTTGATGACTATTAGTACAACCTTATTTGGGAGACATTTATTTAGAAGTATAACCAGTATGTATAGCCATGTGACTAAACAACGCCACCTATTAGCACGCGCACGTTCATGTTTTCAGTGCGTTATAGAAGTATATGGTATGCGGTGTGTAGAATGGATATTATTGATATATGATAAGGCTCAATCACACTCACACTTGATAAGGTAACAATTATACATTGCAAAACACCAATGAAGTTGAAATCATAATTGACCATCATAAGATGTGATTTTATAGATAGTCGTCTAGGGAGTTGGCCCTTCTATTGCTTATGAAGATGACAAAGGTTATTTGACTTCATTCTTTTAGACTTAAATCATATATAGACCCAGTTGCCCAATTTGTAGGACATAATAACTAACACTAAAGGCTTTAGTAATCAAACTCACATTTCTTTATTGAAGACAAGTTAACGATACCTATGTAAAATATATAAATCACCTGGTTCTAATACAATGTCAAGCCATCTTGTTGCTATAAGTTCTGAGTAATAACCAAACTAACTAAAATAATTAATCAGTCTTTCGGACGAGGCTTTTAATCGAGGTCTCTTGCATGAGTGCTTGGCACGTTAAAGAACCAGGAGAAGCTTCAGAAATTGAGGCATCTTTCTGTATCTGTATCTTGCACTATCCTCCTTAATATAATAACATGACTTAAAATCGCCCATATTGGCAACCGGTTGCGAGTATAAATAAATTCAAAAACACACACATACAATGATTGACAAAGTTGTTATTTTAACAAGTCCAAGGAATGTCGACTACTGTGGACAGCATGTAAGCATGGCTACAATTAATGAAATGAGTTTTTCCTATACAGTACTCGTATCGATCAATACACGATTGCTGAACATGTATAAATATTTCCATTTTATTTAAGAAATGATTGGGAAGTTTAGATAACTAGATATTATAAAAAATTATAAATGTATCAGGGTGTAGATGGAATGATGATGATAAACAGATAAAGTAGGATTACAGATCGGCTTAGAACACACATTTATAATGTTAAGTAGTTTGAACTTATTAAACCAATAAGCCTTTGCAATGCATACAAATGCTTTTGCGCTGATTGACAGTTTGTTAATATTAGTTTGTTGTGACGTCAAACACGGTGGTGTCACAACTATACTCGGATTGTACATACGTTCACAAAAACAAAACGAGATTATTTGTGCATTATGATTTGTTTTGGGTTAAATGCACGTGAAATGCGATAAATATAATACTTATTAAGAATATTGAACTTTGATTCGTACACTTTATTTAGTATCTGTATAAGTGGCATAAAGCTATTTTTAATCTGGGTTCCTGATACCAGTAACCCAGATACTTTATTTGAAATATAAATGTCAAGAATTACAGTTATAAAGATGATAAAGATTTTATTAGATAATTACAATATAATGACATTAGATAAAACTTAACAACAACTGCATTATTGAACAAAATATGATAGAATCATGGTATATTTTACAACATAATAAGACCAAATAGCAACAAAGGAAACAGGCATGGAAAATATTACATACATATACTGATACAGATATCCGAATATTTAAAATCAATATAGATTGCTTCCCGAAAAGACTTTCTTATTCAGTCAGTACGGTTATATTAAGAAAAATAAAAAGAGCATTTCTGAATTTTGTGAATTTTTGTTACTAGTATTTCTTTTTCAATTTTCACTTGAGGTATGCGAGAAAGAATTAAACAATTTTATTATACATCCTTATCATCCTTATTTTATTCTCTTTCTATCCTGAAACCTAAACAATAACAGTTTAAGTTACAATAATGTATTTGAGGAGGCCAAATAAAAGGGTTCAATCTTTACAGATCGGAATAACAACGTTTGTAAACTGGCGGATTTAACTCACAGCAGAGACCCTCAAGTATGGTAAAGGCACTCTGTCTCCTGAGATTCCGTACGGAAAAGTTAAAGGGACTCAAAAAGTGATGTGTAAGTCGACTGATTTTAATTCGATTAAACGTTTCGTACATAAAAAGCAAAAATCGTGAAAAGCGATGGCGAGATCACAAAAGTTGATTGTATTTCATATCAATGTAAAAGACACAAAGTTGTTACTGTCATAGATTGGTTGAGAAATATTCTTAAAACCAGCTTGGAAACATATATTTTTTAAACAGAGATGAAATTGAAGGTTTTTCAAATTGTCATATTGTTAATAAAATACGAAACTTTGTTAACATGCGATATTTCGTTATTTAAACTGTATACCAATGATAATTGTTAATTTGCATTATCAATGATAACTCATGTATTTTCTGTTTCCTTATAATTTATAAAATGATTGCGTTTAAGTGTTTCATATCTTTATTCAACTTATGACTAAATGTACATATTGTAAATAGAATTAAAGGTAAGAAAGTGATGACATAGTTGTCATATTGAAATTTACGGATTAAAATGACGGTTTCTGTTTAAATATCACATAAAGCCGAGTGTACATATTATAACCTAATAGCCATTCCAACCCAATGAAAGTTTGAGAAAGCTTTCTTGTGTTTCCTTCGAAATGTCAGGTTAGGACGACAATCAAATTCCTGGTGTAAATTATCTTTAAATATCAGGTGTAAAAATATTTGCGCGGGAGGAATAGTAATTGAATATGATCCTGTCCTATATCAGGCTGTCACCCAATCATTATTTTGTTTGTTACAGTACGCACGACGGCAAATAATTTATTACTATAAATCCGAATCCTGATTGTTTTGAAAAAGGGAAATAAAACTGTCAGGCATTTTTAATGGTAGCGATAACATCCAATGGCAATTTCAATTGTATATCATATTTGTTTCAGGTTATATATTTCATTCAAATTTAATTAGAAACCACTGACTATCATACTCCTACATATATCATTCAGATAGAGAAAACTCCTTATTATGTGAAAAGTTACGTTCTGAAAGTAAATGTTTCTAATAAAGAGTAATTTGGACACTAATTCTTGAAAATATTTATTTTCCAAACATACATGATCTTACACAATATCTATAAAAAGAAAATTAGTGCGGTTCAGGTCTAACAGTGTCAACGCTCGGTAAACTGTCCGGTATTCTGTCTGCGATTTTTTTTGACACAAAAATGATTGTAAAAGAATCGTGAATGTTTTATTCAAATACAAGAACAAATAGTTGCTAAACATCTTTTCAATTATTTCAACTAATAGATGTATATTGTTTAATATTACTAATGTGATGTTGGGTTACGTGAATAAGTCTTTAGGTTTAAAACATTTCAAGATTAAACAAGAACGAAACCAGAGTGTTTTTTTTGTTACCAGCTCATTCCATTGATTTATAATCTGTATAAAAGTTATCAACATTTGCTAGCATTATCAAATGCCCAAAATATAAATATCACTTCAACAAATATAATAAAAATAACGCGTTTAATAAAAAAATGAATAGAACTGATCCAATTTCATATGGTTAATATATTAAGCTTTTAAAAACAAAGATAGAAGAAATCAATTTTTTGTTATTTATAATGTGACAATATGGGAGGAATTTGTACTTTAACATCGATCACGAAATGATCATTGCTTCGTGGACTCCAATATGAGTATATCATTTGACTATGATGATGTTTAAAACTTTGCTTTGGAAATTTGCCCTACGGCAAATGTTAACATATACCAATAACTTAATACATAAGATACAACATTTCGCTTAAAGCAACAATATTATTGAAACAGGAGGCCAAATCATGTTTTGTAAGCTCTCAATCAAACGAGAAAAATGTTTAATCTGATAATGCACAAGTTAGTTGTAAAATTGTGTTTAACAAAAATATTCAACCAAATGCGAGATTTAATCTACACAAAATCGTAACGTGTGAACAAAAAACAACAACCAAAAAAACAACAAAAAAAACAAACACTATACCAACTATAAGAATTTTTGATTGTGACAAAACGCTATTCATGTCAATATTAAAGAAGCTCTTTTGGCTTTTCAAAATAGGTTAATATTTGATCTCGATGACAAAGGTCGTCTACAATAATTGCATTTGAAAGACATTTTTACAAAAGTTACTTCTCAATATGAATACAAAAATAATTACAAAAATTACAGGCATTCATTCATTGTAAATCATTACATTTCAAAATTGAGTCCCCTCTGTTAAACATATGGAATATTTATAATCACAACAATGCAAATAACACGGTGAAAGAAATTAAACTAACTGCGTTTACAAACACACTGACGCTATTTATTGCCAAAAGACATACATTGACAAAAAACAAATGCATGCATTTCTTTTTTGTGAGTCAAATTCTATGTTTTTGAAATTAAAAAACAAACAACAAAAACAACAACACAACCCCCCACCAAAGAGAACAAATGTTAAGAAAACAGCAAATCAAATTATTAATGACTAAGAGAGTAATTGTTTTCCATTGGAATAAAAATATTCAAAATACTCTTCGTTAAAGTGTGGCAAAAGGTCAAAATATATGTCCCTTATATGATTGAGTATGAAGGATCTTAAGAATATACACATTAAACACAAAATGACCTTTAAAGAAATAATAATTTACAACGCTTACAAACAGTAGAACATGCACATCATTCTTCTTTGCCAGATGGTGTTGAATTATGTCTTCAAACCCGATTGTATTTGCATTGAGATTTTGTCACCAAAAAGTTATTCATAAGTAAATTGATTTGGTTGATTATGAAATACTACTGCATAAACTTTAGCTTTATCTTTTTTTTTCTGAAAATGCAGTAACGTATCTTAAGTCGTAACTTTCTAACAGGTAAATGATCGCCAATCTTCAATCTTAGACAACGAAAATATTTTCCGGAGATGCGCAAGGTTCATATTAGAACCGTTATTGTTCGTTATAATACTAAGAACATTATATCTAAGTACGCTAAATGAAAAAATTCTTGAAAACTGATAAAAATGTCCTGGGTTT